TCTTGTTTTATCATAAATGTACACTCCTCAGAAGTGTATTTACATTAACACTGAAAGTTGCGTTTTAAGATAATCAGCAGCTCTATAAACGCAGATTAATATTGTTTGTGATCCAACACATTTATGAATTTGAAATTGTTTTCCAAATTGTATTTGCTCATAATTCTTACAGAACTTGTTATGAACCCAGATATTTAAGTTGATCCCAAAGACTTTAAAGCACCAGCTAATTCAACTATGTATATATTTCATCGAAGTACAGTAATGTCAAGATGTTTAAGCATTATTTGTTATTTTCATCATTGTGACCCTGAATATTATTATTGGGATGTAATGTTGCATATAACAAAAATTATGCACCTTGTATTGTTATAGATATGAGGAGATTTTGTATTGAAACAATTAATTGAATTGTATCTTTTTACAGTTTTGAGATTTTGTTTCTTCACTAAAATAAATGATTTTTTTTTAATTGATATGATTTTCTTGCAAGCTGCATGTCCCCTACTATTGAATTTGTCTTGTAAAGACCTACATGTATTACTGATTCCAAAAACAGTTCAAATTTTTGGATTCTTATAGTGATGGTAAATCATCTTAATTTGTTGGGGATCAGTCCAGTGAAAATCTAAAAAGTAAAATAAACGATAAATCTTCATTTATTATGCCATCTTTCTTTGAGGTCTTCTGAATCACTCTATTTGTAATAGTAATAACGTGACCAACACATTTTGGCTGATATGGATAAAGAAAACTTGTTTATTTTTGTTACATTTTCCACTGGCTGATCGTTCATATTTTTTCTTTGTTAAAGTACTTTTGAACTTCAAATTCTGATATAGTCAATTAAGTGTATAAATTTAAATTGTACATTGCCTACTTATAATTAACTTTCTGTTTTTCATTGAATTTTGTTATTTCTTGCTGGAAACCCAAGCTTAGTACATTTAAAATTTAAGTGAATACTGCCTAGGGTTCTTTTTAGCTCAGAAAGCCTGTTATGGTTTTTATTTATTTGAACCCTACCCTGCCGTTAAGGCAATATGGGTGTTATGTAGCAGTGGGTAGCAATGCATGCATTGCAACTCTGCTTTATTCAAATCAATTACATTACATTATACTCCCTGTAGAGTACGTCGATGAACAACCTTCATCCAGCTCCTCACTCCAAATCTTTCCTTCCTGCTCCATCTTATTCAGTACGAATGTCATACAGATGATACAAGTTCGTCCTCTTTGGTATACTCTTTTGTGGGTTCCAATCAAGTGTGTACCTTTCACCTGCTCCAGGCTGTTTTCAGAGTGTATGGCCAATCCAGTTTCCCCTCCTGCCTTAAGGAAATTTTTGATATATCAATTTATATTCAGTTTTAGATGAAATTGGAATAAATCATTTGTAATTGATTGTCCCCGATATCAATTTATTATTTCAACTAATACTTCATCAGTCATCATTACAATATCATGATTGAGGTTTCCTATGAGCGATTATTTATTATTTTGACTTAGGTACAAATGAAATATATAACAGGGAAAAGTTTTGCAAACAAAATTTTGTATACCAAGTTTTCAAAAAAAGTATATTTTTGAGGTCTACTGAGTCTAAATAACCAGATCTCACAAATTGGATGAAACGTCTAGCCCAAAAACAAAAAGTACAAACTGAAATTTAAGATAGATGTTTGGCTCAGATGGTACAGCAACTTTTTTGCCAAAATGGACTAGCCAGATGACACTTGATACAGAATTTATACAATTTTCTTGAAAATGACTTTAACTATTTTGATTAAATTTGTTATATCAATTTAAAATCAGGTAGTCTTTAATTCAGGTAGGTATTATCTCCATGGTTTGCACAGCTGTATGCCTATAATATACAGTATACTTGTATACTCTAATATATTTTCTTTTTTTTTATATTTTAATATGATTCTCAACTTGTATAATTAATTTAGTGAAAGGAACAATAATATTTGCATTCTATCATCTAATAAAACTCCAGCTTTTTTAATCAAGATGGACATGATTGGTGATTCCTTGATTGCTAGCTTGATAGCTTCATCTTGAGAAAGAAACAGCAGCTTAGTAAAGAAATAATAAAAATATGGTAATTTTGAGAAAATTCACCAGAACCGAAATTCAGAAGAGTAAGAAAAAACAATTTGGAGCCACAAAATCAATTTTGAGGGAATTACAATATTGCTAAACTTCATGAAAAATAAATCAAAATAAAAGTATAACATCATTTTTGTTTGGATGTAAAGTGAAGTCCATCACTCGAATAGTATTTTGTATTTTTTGTAGATATTTATTTTTTCATTTGTATATTCCTTAATGGTTTTGTATATATATCTTACGATCGTCCTGGCAAGAAATAATAAAAAAAAAAAAGGGGATGAGAAAGAACACAGTCAAGTACTCGCTAAAGACTGACTTTATTTCTCTGGTAATCTATATGTAGTATGTCTTAGTTTACCTAATCTCTATAGGATTAAATACAATATTAGTTGGCTACCAACCATAACTTATATATATATATATATATTGATATATATATATATATATCCTCATACTGCTCAGCGGTAGAAGAGGGAAGGATTAAAAAGAAGATATATATATTTTTTTTTTTCGGTTGGCACTACAGACCATTAAGATCTTTGATTATGAGATCTGGTCTCCTTGACCACATCCCGATTCTCGATTTAAGTACATGGGGTAGGGTCATCAATCCATCAGTCAGAGTGAGTTGCCTCCAGTAGGCTGACGGGACTCACATACCCGGAGGGGGGGGGGATCTCGTGCAGCGTGGCTTTCCCTGGTAGATGGTTACCCATCCAAGTGCTAACCACCCTATGTATACATATACTAGGTCTTCTGATTTATACATAATTTATACCCACTGAACCACTGCTTTCAACAGATCATTCATTATTCGATCCTCATCTCTATGAAACTCCATCCCTTCCCACATCCGTCAATCCAATACCCTTCCTACCTTTAAATCCCACCTGTTCAATCATTTCCTATTCATCCAGTCCCCATAAAATTGTAAATAGATACCACTGTAAATATGTATATAAACTATTAGATCGTGCTTCATTATTTTTACTTTATTTTCACTTTTTTATTATTAACTGATTTAAGTTAGAAAGTAATTTATATATATATATATATATATATATATATATATATATATATATATATATATATATATATATATATATATATATATGTTTTTATTATGACTATTTAATTACTCTGTATTATTCTAAAGGTACTCGTGCCAGAATAAATAAAGTATTATTATTACATATATATATTTACATTTCTCTTAGTATTTTTTATTTATATTTGTATGATATCTACATGCCAGACTACTGTATATATTTTTTAATTCTACTATTATTCTAAGGGGACTTCAGTCCTAGAATAAAATTACTTTTCATTTCATATATGTTAACTTAACTTTAAAACATGGTTGATGAATTGATATGATTTAGTATGGGAACTCTAGGTATTGGAAAAATGCTTTTATATGAAGAGGAGGATAAGTAACAATTCCTATATATCAATACTAAATTATGGACGTTGGAAAAATGTCAGTATTTTTTATATTGTTGTCTCATTATTAAAGTTTGAATATTGAAACCAATAATTTTTCAAAAAAACATGAAAAGATCACTCACTGGTTATCACATAAAAATAAGTATTATGGAATAGCTGAGAAATTTTACTTTCACTTACCTATATATGTAATATACAGTAAGAGAAAGTATTGCGATCATGAAAATTTCCGAATCTGAGTTTTCAACGGAAATACACGTTTTGAGGTACCCTGAGTCCAAATAACCAAGTCTCACAAAATGGTCTGTGTGTGTTTATGTTAGTAGTCTAGCTCAAAAATGAAAAGTCGTACGGAACTGATATTACGTATTTAAGGTAGGTATATGCCTTAGATGTGACAGCAACTTTTTCCTTAAAATCGGCTAACTGGAAGTTCCTCTTTAACTCAACGGTGAAACACTTTTTTTTTCTGTTGGCATAACAGGCCTTGTAGATCTTTTACTGCCTTAAAAAATCTATTCCATTTCTGGCTATCTTGGATAACTGATAAATATTGGTTTAATTAATCTTTTATATATTAATGATTTTTCTTTTTTGTTTATATTGAAAAAGTATATTATTTTTATAGGTTTCAATCATTTTTAATTCAATTTTGAGTTTCTTTATTTTTTTTGTGTTGAGAAATTTAATTCATTTTTTTCTAGTTCTTTGTCTTCTTATTTATATGTGGTAATATTTGTATAGGTTTTTAGTATTTCATGTAAGACTGATATTGACAGTAATTCATTTAACTATTTTTTAGTAATATATTAATATTTAATTATTACTATTAAAAATTCAATTCAATGTTAATTCAGTTCTCCTACTTTCAAAGATTAAAATATAAAAGCCCAAAATATCGACATTTCATTCATATTTCAACATATTTGATAACTATCAATACTGTTATTCATCTCTACTCATTTCAAAGATTAAAAATAATCCAGGCCCAATTTGTATCAAAATTTGTTTTTGATATTTACATCCCTGTGCTAAATAAAACTTAGAAGTTATTATTAGAAAAGATTTTTGTACCTGGTAACTTAGAAAACATTATTTTTTCTAAAGGATAATGATTTGTGACATGCTTCGACATGTTTTTTTTAATAACCACACCTCGACCCCATTGAATATTGATTTTTGAATAAGAATTTTAGTTGGTAAACATGATAAGAAAGAAAACTTTTTTCAATTTTAAAAGGTAAATGGGAAAATATAAACAAATAAATTTTGTCTAAAGACTGTAAATTATATATCATGAAAGGCAATGATTTGATGGCAAAGTATTGAATTTTTTTTTTAATTGTTGAAAAAATAAATGTTACAAAATTAAGTACTTAATATCATTCCTGTTTAGTTATAACAAAAATTGTGCATGCCTAATATTTTTGATGAAGGTTGAACGTTGTTTTGCTGAGCCCTGATGAAGATCTGACACTGAGACTGAAGTTACACATTACAGCAGCATTATACTCACTATGTGTTACTTAATAGACTGTGCTCCCAACCATTTTCTTAATTAGATCTAGAGTTGAGAATAATTATTCAAATTATATTATTTATTTTCTTTTTTTTTTTAGGTGGAAAAGGAACAAAATCCTTTGTTGAAAGGTGTGTCACATACATAGGAGAAAATGCTATGGATTGTGTCAAAACTAATTCTTTTCTTAATCTGCCCAAAGATGCTCTCGTCAAGTTGATATCTTCTGACTGCGTTAGTATTCATTAACTTTTTAGATAATTGTCATTTTTATTTTTTAATATTATTCTTCTATAGTTGACCTCTCTTTTAAAAATTGCCATATTCCATTATAAGAGCTTTTTTAATCCACCTTAACATAATATTCTATATCTTGTTATAACTATTTGTATTGCATAATAGAAAAAAATGAGAAGCTGGCATGTACATTTAATTGAATCGGAAATTAGAAGAAGGAAATAATTCCAAAATTGTCACTTTTGGGAAATTTAAACAATAAACCTTATAACTAACTATTTTTTATTTATTTCTCTTTATGATGTATTTAAATGCTCGCTATAGAGAAAAGTTAAAAAAAATATTTTACGTTTGTTCAGAAAAATTCAGAAATTTTATGTGCTTATTCCTTTCTTAAAACTGAAAAAAATTACTTAGTATTTCTAATCTGGGAAAGGTGTAGCCTGGGCATTTTTCTCATTTAGGGAAATAAACATTTATATTTTCCTAGTATTTCATCTGTTTTGTTTCTATTTTTCTATACCTTCCCAAAATCCTTTGATGTTATTGTCCACTTTTTCATGTTACTCCCCATTTTTCTTCAATGTTTACATCACTATCCATGGGCGGATCTACGGGGACAGAGGGGGGCTTTCGGTCTGAAGGCCTCCCCTCCCCAAAATGGTAAAATGTAACCATGTTTATGATAAAAAATTATCTCTTAAAGTATATTGTATCGTGTAATTACATTTAATAGAACTTCAAGAATCACTTAAACACAAGTCACCCTCCCAAAATTAAATCCTGGATCCGCTAGTGTCCCCACCTAAACTCAATCTGGCCTCACGATGGATCAGAATGAGAAATTACATTTAAAAAATTGTTTCTGGATCTAAGTAAGAATAAGCTAGTCAGAAAGACATCTAAAAACACGAAGGATGGCTTTACCTTTCTTCAAACTAAACTATGAATTTGAACCTGTAAGAAAAGATTTATACAAATCAATTTATGAATGGTCAGTTCAAATTTAACGGCATTAAATTTCGATTGAACTTATAATAAGCAATGTGTAATATCATATAAGTTGCTTAACAATATAAAATATTGGAAACATTTCCAAATTATTTTTTTATATATAGTTTTAAACAGTTATGTTGTATATAATTTTAGGTTGCATTAGAAGAAGAAGATGTTTGGCGATGTGTGCTATCCTGGGCTAAGCACCAGGCTGGGGTTACTCAACCTACAGCACATTGGACTGAGGAAGAGAGGGCTAGGGTTTGTCAGCACCTCCATGGGGTTATCAATCATGTTAGGCTACTATTAATAGGTAGGATAGTTGAAAAATTACAAAATATATTTTGAACAAATATTTGCTTACTAGAATGGTTCTATATCTCTTGACAAATAAAATGTATTCTGTTCTACTGCTGCCATGATGATTATTGGTGTATTTGAAAATTTTCAATCATATTTAGGTCCTCATCATCTTAATGTTTTCTATTTTGTTCTGCCACTACGTTATTGAAATAGCTACTTGTTTATCTTCATTGAATTATATTTTAACTACATAGAAAATATTAAGTCACGACTAGTATTGCAAATAGAAACATGATACCAACAGCTTCTATCTTATATTTTTTACAACAAAAAAACTTAGTATAGCAGATCTTATTACATTAGTCTCCGTGTGTTTATATAAACACATTTATTCAAATACTGCCATGATCTCAAAAACCTTTTTTTGTGGAATAGATTTCTTCCCTTAATTGGAATGATTGCTCCTGGATATATTTGGTCAAATGGTAATAGAATTTGTTTCTACCCAAAATTAATTGTTATAAGTTATGTCAATATAGGTTATTACTTGAAATTATTTATTTTGTTTTTCATTAGTGTTTTAAATTTCAATTATTTTTGTTAGATAGCCAAGTATTCGCAGAAGAAGTAGAACCTACTGGTGCGGTTCCCATGGAGCTTTCTCTTGAGAGATATCGGTATGCAGCACTACCTAATAAGTTCAGAGAAAGTTTAGAAGACAAGCGATTGCAACCCAGGTTGTCGCTTAAACTTTTTCCAGGCTCACATATCCTGGTACAGGTAACCGTCATTCATTCATTATCAGCGAATATCATAGGATTTCACTTTTTAAATTTTTGATTCTGGTTAAATAAAGGTACTTATAGACTACTTTAAGCTATAAATAAAGTTCTAAAAATAATTTTTTCAGCCAATGGGAGGAATATTACAATTGATTATTTTATTTCTTATTTACAAATAAGTTCGTACTTCACTATGTTACAATTATAGTGAGGTATAGTAAGAAGTTCAGACAATTGCTGAAATTGACTTGCCAGAAGTGCAACTTTATAGAATTGATTTTACACTTTTTTTTTTTTACAGTTTTCTCTAAATTGTCTCTAATTAAGTTTATTTGAAATTATTAGCCACATCTCATTGTTAATAGCAATAAGAAAATTAAAATTTTGAACTACATTGGAATTTGATACTCATTTAAAGAGAACAAAAGAAAAAGGTTGGAAGCAATTATTGGGAAATAAGAGTAATAATATAGATGCATAATATACCGTTTGAAAGCTAAAGATATTAGATAAATTAATATCAAACATATAAAGTCATAGAAGATTATGGAGACTGGAAAAAAAAAATGTAAAAGCTATTATAGTTCCTTAAGTATTTATACTTATATATTATTGAATAGAAAATAATATTTCTATGAAAATTGAATGGAATTTTCATAGAAACTAAATATAAAAATTTTAACACAGCTAAAATATATTGTGATCTATACACCAGATTTTCTTTAAAGCTTTATGATAACAACTAGTTATTGAGGTAATGATGGTTGAGTGTGTTGAGGAATTGTCCGCTTTAACATTCTAGAGTCCAGTGGTGCCAGTTTCAAAAGCGAGGATGGGGGTAACCAAAAAAAAAAAATTGACTAGCTAAGTTAACTTGGATTACTATACATTCTTTTTTCTTTTCCAGGATAAAATGGGTTATCAGCGGGTGCTTAATTCATGGTACGGACATTCCAAGCAAGTTTGGCGACTGGTATACAGGGCGTCAACTCATGGCTACTCAGCTGACAGCTTTCATAGGCATTGTGACAATGTAGCTCCTACTTATGTTATAGTTTTGGTAAGTATCAAGTGATTATCTCCTTAATTATTAAAAATAATATTAAGGTTTTCTATTTTTTTTAAATTGTTTTGTTATTTGTTATTGTTTCTTCCTAATATATACTGTGTAGAAAGTGTATCAAATCGTTAGGAATAATTTAAATTTATCATCTTAATTTATTCAAATTATTTTAACTATTCTTTTTAATTTTAGGGAAGCTGTGGTGAAATTTGTGGTGGATTTTCAGATGTGCCATGGGGTAAGACAAATGCAAAAGGGCATTATGTTCAGTCAGACCGAGCATTTCTTTTTACTCTTGCTAATAATAAGGATATCCCGCCAACTAAATTTGATATTGTCAAAAAGCCATTTGCAATATGTTACCATCCAGAGTAAGTTTTTTTTTTACATATATATATATTAGATATTTTCATGAAAGAGAAAAATTGGCTTCTAATTTTATATCTTGACCAATTGTATAAATGTTAATCAAACTTACTGCAAAATTTATTTGAAGTCTTTATACCAATTTATTTACTCAACAAAAAGCATGTAGTGTCCATTATTCAATTATATTGTGCAGAAATGTTTTGTTTAATTATGTTTCATTATATTTTTATATACTTGATAATTTGTATAATTCAGAAAATTTGAAGATAGGATTCGGTTGCTGTCCCAGAAAATTGTCAGTCTTGACAGGAATCGTCAGTATATTTTTCTACTCTCGGAATTAACTACTGTATTTAATATACATTTATAGATAAATTTTTATAATTTAAAATATGGATTTCATATACAAACAAATTTATGAAAAACATATTGTGTGTAATAGAAAGACTATATTTTTCTCGAAATGTAGACGAATACTCTTTTAGTACATTCTCATTTTTTTATTATTTATTCGATACATGAAGCTTTCGGTGCCTTGCACCATATTCATCTGTTTCAAATCTGAATCCATCCACGTTGGATGTCATTCTTTCAAAAATTAATTTTCTTTCCAATCATTGATAAATTACTGTACTTTTTGTTAAAAATCTATATTATTGGAGAAGAGGGGATCTTTTCTGTCCATACCGGATCGTACTCTGACCAAACTTTTTATTTAATAAATAAATAATAAAAGAATGAGACTATACTAAAAAGGTATTCTCCTATATGTCAAGAAAAGTATATTTTAAAGAGATAATACTAGATTTTTTTCTTTCATCTATTTTTAATATATTTAATACATTATTGAACAATGTCATAACTACCTTAAATAGAGAGTTTTCTATTCAGAATAGTTCATATATATTCCTGCAGATGTTGGAATATGCAGAAAAATATGTTTAAAGGTTTGATTTGAGGTACCTACAATAGATATTGGCCAATGATCAAGATATTTGTTGCATCAAGAATATTTTTTTTATATTTCTGATTACAGATGTGGTCCAATATTTGGTGCTGGAGCTGACCTTTTTATATCTAGCCATTGCAATAACAACATGGATTCATATTCAAACTTACCACATTCTTACGATGGTGATAATGCTTCTTCCAGTATTCTGATGGGAGATTATAATTTTTCTGTTCTCGACTACGAAGTTTTTACACCTGTTGGTGGGAAATGACTATATGGATCATCTCCTAAGCATAAAAAAGTTCCGTAATCTTCGAATTCCTATCGCAAGTACAAATGTCTTATAAATGATTTAAGACCATATAATTACTTATTTATATTTTCTTATGTTGCCAATAAATAGTAAAATGATATAGCTATACATCAGTATTCCGTAGCGTTAGGCTGCTCCAATAGAGCATTACTGTTTCTGTAAATACAATATGATATTATTATACGTTGATTTAACTTAGACTAAGTACTTTTTATCAGTCATTTATAGCATAGGAATCATATGGCCATAAAAATCAAACTAAAAACTTTTTTACAAAGTATTATTTGTGTTGTAAATCAAAATATTAGCCATTTTAATACTTAAGAACATCTTATTAATAATCAACTATTATTAAATGTATATTTCTTCATTATATTCAGATTTACATTTGTTCAGAAATGTATTTTATAATAGTCAATTGTTCGAATGGTGATAGTGCCATAATTTCATAGTCACTTAATATAAGTGTATTTAATCTCTCTCTCCCTCTCTCTCTCTCTCTCTCTATATATATATATATATATATATATATTCAACAAATAATCACAGAGGCAATGTTTTATGCTTGCTATATAGTCTGACTTCTGATCCTTGGAAATTATCAGAAACAAACAGTTTCCAAATAATGGTGATTCACCTTGTACATTCAGGGTATATCATATTGGATGGATTGGTCGGGGTCAATGAAATATATATTCTATCTTATTTGGATTTGTTTCTATGTTTGGTCCCATTCAGCTACTTTCCCTTGCTAATTTTGTTAATTAAAAATAAATTAATTCTGTTGTTAAACTTTACATTTTTGGTTTTATTTAGCTTCAAATAACTTTTTTATTTTCTATGCATACATTACATTTAAGGTGTCTATATGTTAGCTTTAATACCTCACTGATTTATTTTTAATACCAAATTTAATGGTTTGAATTAATTTTGTTATGGTTATTGTTCATTATTTATAAGGATTGTATTGTTCATTAGTACCGTTTTTTATATCTGTTTGTGCATTTTTAGTATGGTACTTTTATCCATTATTATTAAGTAGTAATAATTTTAAATAAATACATTCTTTACCATTGCTATGTTAACCATCAGACTGTTAGAGTACTTACATGTAAGTTCCTGGAAGATTTCATTGTAGGTAACAAATTATGAAATTTAAGTAATCATTTGTTTCTCTAAATCAGTTCATCATTATACTATCAAATCATCAGTTTGGAAGATGAGTATAAAACAATATTAACAGTTCTCTTGAAATGGGCTCTTTCTAAAACTTTTTCATTCTCTTTTTAAATTTCTAAAACATTGACTTGTCTTGAATTTCCACTTCATACCCTTTAAGTTTATGATCTGTAAAATATATTCTATATTCTTCTTCTATCATACCAAAAATCTGAATGACTCCTTCCTACTTTGAATAATTAAAATAGCTTAATCCAACAATTAAAGTTAACATTTGAAATACTTCATTCGTTTTTATTCGTAGACCTAAGTTTCAGTTGACCCAATATATAATATTCCTCAACACAAAGCCAGAAAAAGTGACAAATTGGCTCTTGATAGCTCTCAATCATGATACTCTATTCAACTGAATAATAGACCTTTTTCCATTGGAATTCTTATCAATACATAACATAAACTTCTTTTATTAATCATGTCTTCTTTCAAACTGATGATATTTAAATAATCAGTGTTTTTTTTTACATTTTTTTTAAAGTAATCATTCCCTCTCCCATTCATCCCTCCCAAAAAGTTGGGTCCAGCAATGGATGGATTATTGGGGAAATACTTGGGAAAAAAAATACTTTGTAATTTCCAATTTTATTTTAGGACTATGAACTTAAAAAAAATAAATTATAAGATCTAGATTTAATCCTTTTTGTTTTATGATGTGTTTTTCAATCAATAATGATATGATTTAAGAATATTTTTCAACAATTAATTGCAATATTATCATATTTTGACTCTGGTTCTCTATAAATTGTAAACATTTGTATAATCTTAGAATAGTTTCACAATGATTATTAAAATTAGTATTTTATTATAATTCAGTACCATAAATTTTACAAAACATTCTATATGTATCTAAGCTCTGTATACAATATAAAAAGAATGTCTGGGAAAAATAAATATGACTATAAATTTTTATTTTTTACATCATCTGTAGATTTTACTTCCATAATTTTACCTTATGTATTTTCCCTAACTTTGATGCTAATAATCTGAAAATATTAATGGAAAATGTATTTATATAATATTGTGCTAATTTTATGAAACATAATTCATGATAATAGGGTTGATGTTTCTTTTGAAATGTCCTTGTATATTTACTAGAATATTTTTTTAAAGACATTTTACATTCTTTTTGACAGTAGGAATTTGAATGAATAGGTAACCAGTTAATGGATTGGTAAATGTATGTTATTCCAAAAATCTATTATTTCCCTATAATCTGAATATTTTTTCATGCTTATCCCTTCATTTGTTATATCTAAATAGTTTCCATCCTTGCCAAACTGATCCCATTGAACAATATCAATACTTGGAACTCTGAAAAAAAATAAACTACAATAAGTATAAATATATAATTTATAATTTCATTAATGAAATCAGCATTTCCATGGCTTATCTCTAAAGCTTGTAAGTACATAAGAAGGGAGAACAAAAGTATATAAGAATTTTGAAATAAGCAATGGATATATAACTTGAATTTACACAAATTCATACAGTATATTCTTGATAAACAATTTTCCTTCTTGAAACAACTTTTGGTTGCAAAGATTTGACTGTTTATGTTTATAAAAATGTGTTTTATATTATACCAGCCATGCGTTGCTGTGTCTCATTCTGGTTCAAAAAAAAAGAAATCAGATGTTTCTAATATATTTTATGTAACCATACTTGTGGATATGGGATATTCTATGTTTTTCTATTCTTTGTCTAGATATAGAGACTTTCTGGTTTTCCAACTTTAGAATTCGCAACATATAATTGACTATATAAGATGCAATCGGTCTCTAAATCTCCCAAGAAAAATTACTCATAGTTTTAACTATTATATCTCTTCAAATTGTCCAATTTTAGTGATTTTTTTTTTATTTGCAGGGAATCAAGGAAGCTTTCAAATAATGTTGTGTATAATCAAACAAAAATTGTGTACTTTTTGATTTATTCGCAAATATAGTTTGAACCAATTATAACTTTCTTTTCATACTCATTTTGGGGAAGGATGTTATATACATAAATTTAAAGGGCTTTAAGGAGAAGACTTTAGCCAAGTTTAATTAAAATTTTTACAGCCGTTTAGGCGCTACAGTCTATAGTGACACAGGTTTTTTGGCGGCCTTTCCGAAACGAACGACCGGAGGGTGATTAAATGTATATAAAAACACTGCTGAATGTGATTGAAACATTATGTTAATATTTCAAAGCAATCCGTGAAGAAGTTTCGGGGATTAGCAGTTTTGAACAAATGAACATTTACGTTTTTATTAATATAGATTGGCCATGTATTTATGGCCACCAAATAAATTTACATCTATTCATTTGAAATCAATATTAAAAAAAAAAAATAGCCTATTTTGAAAATTACTTACTGATACTTGGCAAAGTTGACCCACATCTTTATTAAGTTTTGTGAAAGTTCAATATCCTTTGGACCTGGCCAGCCTTCTGGTTCAAAATAATTGCTGAGGTCAAAAAAGTAAGGAGCGTCATTACCATGGCATGCACCTGTTAAATCAAATGATATGGGATAAATTATTTATTATTAATATTCTTTGTATGATTAGTACAAGGTTTAATTATTTTATAATATCCTGTATCATGAATATTGAGCCAATGTGATTACTCCCTAATACATTATACACTTGAGAAAATATTATATATGGATCATGGGAAAATTCAAAGCCTATATCCTGTAATACACCAGGGACAGAGTAAAGTGGAGGAAGATCACAATAAAGTCCCAGGTTCTTGTAGGTCCATAGCACCAAGAATAAATAAAATAAAATGTAGCAGAATAGTGATTTTAGGTAAATAGTTGCATTTTTTTTTTTTTTTTTATGTATAAGTATTTTGATATGTTTTATAATTTGAGTAGTGCTGTTTCTTTTATGATTATTTATGTTGTTTGGTTTTATTGTATATCTTATAATGAACCCTGAAGATGGAGGAACGCTTTGAAACATCTATTGAATAATTTGTTTGCCAATCAAGACTTATTGGAAATATTTCTTTCATTTATACATATGTAGCTAATTCATGTAGTTCCATAAATTGTTCAGAATACTTACCTTCCATATTTAGTGATTTATTTGAGGCTTGTTCCCACAAGGTTGGTCCTCCAGTATAACCAAATTTATAAAAATATTTCGGTCCAGTATGTCTATCTATTGCCAGTAAAGCTGGATAAAGCCAAAATAATTCAGTGAAGAACTGTAACATTTCATAAGCTGCTTTATTAATTTATATAATGTTTATACTATGAGATATTCATTCAGTTTAATAAATATTCTATTTATTAATATTATAATAAGAGATTAAAAAATGCAAGTTGACATATAGTTCTGTCAAGTGCTGACTTTAAAGGGGTTATGAAAAATACAAACAGTTAATAGAAGACTGTCTCTGTGGTACGGTAGATGTTGTTTAATCTGTGATGTGGTTTCTACGTGTTATAAAAATTTTACCACAACAGAAAATTTCGGACACTAAACATTCCATAAGATCGGACACTAAACAAAGACCAAAACAAGTTTCCAGTATGTGGATAGTTCAAGTACCTGGGATCCTTTATGACGGCCAACAATGACGTAGGAGGATTGCTGTGGGCACAGCCAGGATTGCTGTGGGAATCCAATCTTTTTATGCCATACAGCGACTACTTAGGCTAAATTGAAAATCTATAAAACAATGACTCGTCCGGTAGTCGCTTACGGATACGAGATGTAGGTTATCTCAGCAAAACATGAGAGGGCTCTTGGAGTGTGTGAGCGAAGAAGGCATTTGGAGGTCCCGATACAATCGGGAGTTGCAACAACTCTACAGGGACGCAGATCTCATTAGTGTCATTAAGGCAGGACAAATAAGGTTAGGTGTGGCAAGAATGGCAGCGGACCGAGTACCGAGGAAAATATTATACAGGCAACCTGCAGGAGTAAGAAGGAGAGGAAGGCCTCCACTTCGTTGGCTGGAGGATGTTGAGACGGCTTTGAGACGGCTTGGTAACAGGCGGTGGAGAGCTGTCTTATCGGACCGAGATGAGTGGCGACATATTTTTGAGAAGGCCAAGGTCCCACACGGACTATAGGACTGAGGAGTAAGTAAGTATTATGTTTTAGGGGGCGCTTTTTATGAAAATATTATCGGATTTAAGATTGCGCCGCCGGGCATTGACTTTTTGTAACCTTTTGGACATAATTGGTATTAAGGTTGACTATTGTATGTTTTGGGGGCATTTTTTATGAAAATACTGTCGGATTTGAGATAAAGTATATGAATATACTACAAAATATAAAATATTCTACACATGTAATTTGTTAAATGATGGATTTGATAACTTTGAAAAGAAAAAGTAAAATAATTCTGAGTAAATTTGAAAATGCTAAGTACTCTCGAGGACTGCTGATTATTTTTTCAATTATCAGGTTGAGTACTGATTGAAGTACTCAGTTCTCAAATCGCGCTAGTATTTGAGTAAAAAAATATTCTGTAATTTGTAATTTTTTCTCATAGTACTTTTTGCCTATCTTTAATCTTCAATCAGCCGGTATTTTCATAAAAAGTGCCTCCTGAAATATAATAGCCAATCCTCATATCAATTAAATCCGAAAAGTTACAAAAAGTTGATGCCCAGGGACGCTATATCTAAATGCTGGAGACCATTTTCAAAAACAATGGTCCCTAGAACATATAAACAGACCCAAATATCGAAGAAATCCTTAAAATTACAAGAAAAAAAAATTATTCGAATCGTATTTTTATCTTAAATAATGAATAGTAAATAATAGATAATGCATATTATCTGTAAATAAAAAATAATTATCTGTCTAAAGGTCATCGAATAAGAATAACAAATGAATTTTTATCTATTTTTCGTTATCTATACACAATTTCAAATAATTTATTTGAATAACGCCAACACTGGCTCCTACTAACTCTGGTTCTCTATATTTAAGGAATTCTGGGACTATGTTGTCTCGGCCTGCTGCTTTCTCTGCCTTTATCTTGATAATGTCCTTTTCAACCTCATCCTCCTCAATCGGGTCATATCCTTAATCCTGCATCTTAGTTTCCAAATTAGGGTGATCCCCTTCTTCTGAATTACAATTAAACTGTCTTGAGAAGTACCTACACCAAGTTTCTAGCACCTCGTTCTTCTCAGACATCACCTCTCCTTTTTCATTCTTTATGTTTCTTATTTGATTGGATTTCCTGCCTCTGAGAGTCTTGATTTTCATCCAGAAGAGTTTGATATTTTCCTTGTGATCATTATTGAGAGATCAACCAAACTCCTCTCATGCTTTTCTATTTGCTTCTCTCACTTCTCAACTTTCACCTTGTTTCTTGCGCTTTTGTAGAGCTCGTAGTTGCAGACTTCTTTACAAAATGTTTTACTTCTCCCTTCTGATTACTATAAGCTTCCTCTCTCCACCAGTCTGAATGCTTCCATTTACCTGACTCCTTCTTCACACCACACACTTTTTTCACCGATACCAATATAGCAGCCAAAGGATATTTAGCTCTTTAACAAAGTTCAGCTCTTGTAACCGAATCCTGAACTCTTCCTCGTAATCCTTTAGTTTCGAGTGACCCTGCAACTGCTTAATTTCAATCCTTTCTAAGGCTTTCAATCGAGGCTTCTTCGTGGAAGGAATTGTGGTATCGGCAATCAAAAGCATGTGATCATTTCCAATTTCAGCCCCTCATATAAATTTAATATCTGTAAAATTGTTCCTTATTTCCCAAGAAAGTAGTCTATCATGTTTCTTTTAGTGCTGAGAAGGTTATCTTACAGACCTGTTTATGTGGATAAAAAGAGTTGCCAATGACAAGATCATTGTCAATGAAAATTCTTATAGGCGTCGTCCGTTATTGTTTAATATCCTCATTGAGGTCTCTCATGACTATTAAATTCATACTTCTACAGTTTTCAATTACATGAGCAAGGTCACTGTAGAATTGTTCCACTTCCATGACACATGAGTCCTCAGTTGTTGCATAGACCTATACCAGAGTAATTTTTCCAACCAAGAATGGCATTGGCAGATATCATTCTAGAATTGACTTGTTCCCAATCTTCAAGTTTCTGAAAAGCCCATCCTTAAAGATCATTCCAACTCCAACTCATCCTTTGCTCAGTTACCCAAGTGCACTCCTGAATAGAGCACAGTACATCATTTGTCCGATTGTTTTACCAGAACCCTTCTTTCTGATTTCGCATACCCCTAGGATGCCAATTTTGTAGGATTTCCTCTCCTCCATTTCCTTTTCATAGAGAGTACGTATGTTCCATGTACCAAATCTGATATCCCTTAACATGCCAGGTAATTTCCATAGAGACTGTCCATATCTGAAATTATTTGCAGAAATTCTTTGAATCGGTTGTACTCCACTATGGGTTATTGGCCCAGTAGGGGAGGTCCCATTACCTCTGGACAACTGGTTGCCTGTTATACTCCTGGCATTGAGTCTTCCCAGGAGAGGTGATCCTAAGGTGAGTACTGTCAGTGTATATGTATTGTGTACTATTGTGCAATGTGTAAGTGCACTGTGTACAGAACTCAAGAAACTAGGGGACGGTTAATCCCCACTGGTAGAGCACAGCTACTAGCCCTTGCGGGAAGATAAAAACTTAATTCAGAAAAAAACACTTAAAAATCCAGGGAATCTGACTTTCCTTTATGACTTATATTCAAAGAACTATTAACTGCACCATGATATTAGTACTATTTACAACAAGCATTATAAAAATATGACATTGTTAATTTTAAACAGACAGATGCTAGCTTACCTTCTCATAACTAGCAAGAGGACGGAAAAAGTTTTTCAAGTGAAAAAACCTTCTTATAATTTGATAACTAGATATTAAAGGGGTAGGTGTGCGTAAAGCCCTGGCTAGCACAATATTTCCTCCTAAGTAAAAAGCCATTTTTTGTGGTATTGTTGCAAAATCTTTTATAACTGAAACATAAAAAAATATATTTACTAAAATCGATATGCTATAATTTCAAAAGCTCTATGTAAAGTTTGAATGATAATCCTTTTTTATATATATATATATACATTTGTAAGTAGCATTTATATAGTCTTCTTTTCCTTTTTGAAATTTTATAATACTAATGAAAGGAAAATTACATATTAAAAAAATGGAGTCTGGTATTAAATAGAATTTAACTTCAATAGTGATTTAGAGTTTTTTTTTTTTAAGCTTCAGAAGTATATAGATTTTAAGTGAAGTTTTCTGCTGAATCTTTTAGTCTGAATAATTCGGTTAAACTTGCCTTATTAATTTTTTGTAATATATTTTTGTTATAATTATCATTTAATCATACATATTTCAAACAGCTAAAAATAATTTAAAATATTGTTAATACACGACAACTAATATTTACATATATAAAATATTTCTATACATACACTCAGTAAAGAGTTGTCCTTCATTTGCCATGACACCTGCAATCCAAGGAAAATCAGAATGACTTGGTGGCCACTGTGTAATTACAGCGGTTTCAGAATTCTTCTCTATAACAGGGGCTGGGAAATTGGTCAAATGCTGAAAAGTAAATTCCTGATAAGATGTCAAGGATGTTAATAAGTAAATAAATTTATAATCTTATTTTATTTTCAAAAACTGTGAATACTTTAATTAGGGAGTATTATTACAAATATATTTTTTAAATATTTATAGTAAGCAAATGGATATTTACCAAGACATCTAAGCGTCGAATAAAAACATCAATAGGCAGAGATTGTAAACAAGACAAAAGCTTTGAACTATTGCGCGTGTCACATCCATGTTGCTTTGCAAAATCAGTAGCTGTTTGTTTGGCATCTCCTGGTACGTGCAGTGACCAAATACTTCCAGCAATACCACTTTGTGAGATACATCCTTTGAGTAAAGCTGAACACAGAAGATGTATAGTTGTAATTAATAATCATTTATTTGAATGCTGCTCTGATTGATTTCAGTAGACTACTCACCATAAAAGTAAGGAAAAATGAGAAGATAAACATTTAAGAAAGCATTCAGAAAATTAAAAATGCTTACATTGATTTTATTTTATAACCAATAAAAATTAAAATAAGCTTAAATTAAAACTATATAGATCTTCATCAATAATACAAGTTTTCTCGCTTAATTCAATAGAAATCCGGTGTTTTTTTCTACTTCAGAGAGAAATGGTCAGGGTATCCATGCTATTCAATGTACAGTACATCCTCAACCAATGAAGAGGAAGTAAGATAATGGGAAAATAAAATAAAATTCGTTAATTTGCATGTTTTGAGGTGTTTCTGAAATTCTAAAAGTGACTGTTATCTTCATTTTTTCCTATTTAAAACTTTCTGCAAGTTTTTTTTATGAAATTCACATGCTCATACTATATCATAGTTTGTGCAGTGTCAAAAAGAACACAAAATATTTTGTTCAAAAAAAAAAAGTGGAATAGAGATATGGTTCATTGTATGACAAACTAATCCTGAGAGACTCTTGCAAGTTTTTCATACTGACATTATATATGTAGTACCAATAGTTTTTGGCATTTTCATTTACTTCTCACCAAGACATTGTGAATGCAACTGTAATTTTTATATAACTTTTGCATGAGTCAAACAATAAATTGTTGACTAAAACATTTAGGCTTCTTTATCTATTATTGTCATGTACAATATGAAAATTATTTTAATTGGTACGTATTGTTATCATATTTTTTAAAATGTCTAAATAATTTTTTATGTACAATTTTTAGATTTTGTTGCAAATATCATCACAAAACATCTGTCCTTTGTTCTTCACAACATTGGAATTTTATGGGTTCCTTTAATGAAATGATAATATCAAAATATTGTAAGTTGTGAAAAAAAAATTTGACCCGATCGCAATACTTTCCTTATCTAGTATACATAGGAAAGTAAAAATGTAAGATAATTACTTATATAATTAATAAATAGTATAACTTAAAAATTTTAATAAAAATCTGGGAATACTCTTTATTTTGTTGTGTCTTTTAAACAGATTTAAAGAAATATTGATTTTAAAAAAAATCTGATTAAAATGAATCACCAGCTGTAGAAAATTCATGCATGTAACATTAAGCAGTTTTTTAATTTTTATTTATTCCAAGACATACCTTTCGCTTTGGGTGATGAACAAAGGTAATGAGTGGATGCTCCACCAGCGCTGATACCAAATGCTGTGATCAAGTCTGGATTGCCACCAAAGTTTTTTATTTCTTTTTTTACCCATTCCAAAGCTAATATTTGATCCTTCAAGCCATAATTTCCTGGTAACACGTCATCCTCCAAGCTTAAAAAACCTATAAATTAATAATAATTTGATAAATATTTAAATGTGATGAACTGACTGAACTGCTCCTAAGTTGTTTTGTACAACTATTTAACACTTCCCTACATCTTACACCTAACTACCGTAAAAATGAGAATGACTGAATGGAAATAAAAAATTGAGGAACAATACAAAGGAAGTAAAGTTGAAGCAGGCGTGTTTGTATATATTTGCACGTACATATGTGCGTAAAAGACCAAATTAGTTTGGTTATGAGGAATATTGCAGTCAGATTCTCTTAGCTAATGAACTATCATTATATTTGTTTATTTAGAAATATTACATTCTGTCACATCAAGAACATTTATAATAGTGTTCAGAGAAAGCACACTCACACTCTATTTACAATAAAAAAAAAATAATAATACAGAAACTTAATAATAATAAATACAATAAAATAAAATAAAAATAAATACAATAAAAATGAACTATAGTCACTATCATGTTCAGAATTTTAAAAGGTTCTTTGGTTATTTGTGATTATAATATTAGGTTATTTTATTAATAATATTCTACCAGACCAGTTGATTTGGAGTCTGTATGACCTAGTGATTTAAAATTTTGGAAAGTATTATATATATAAATACATAACTTTGTCTAAAAAAATCTTGAATTTGTATAAATTTTCAGATGGCAATAAAATCTTTTTAAATTAGTTATCTTAATTAATAGATTTACTTCTAAAAATCTTTCAAGATATGATTTTCATTTTCACCGGATTATCCACTTTTCAAGAAGTGATTTGATCTTATCCAATGCAATGTGTTATGCATGTAATGGATAATGTATTCATATTCTTTCATTATACATGAATTTCGGATGGCAACTGTTAAAATAAAAATATACCCAGATATCCAATTCGGTAGCTGAATGTGACAACCACTACATCTTCATCCATGAAATATCTAGACTTCATTGCTGTTCCTGTCCATCCAAAATTAAATCCTCCACCATGCACATAAACCATCACTGGATAGGATGCATCCAACTGCATAATAATTACAAATATTTAGTTAATAGGAAAGAAATGTTGAATTAAAAAGTTCAAAAGTTTACTATAATTTTATTCAAGAATTATTATTTTTCACCTTTGGAGTGTATACGTTGATGTACAAGCAATCTTCTTGTCCTTGTAATCCATGCTGATAGCGTAAGAAAGCTTTCTGGAAGCACATTGGGCTAATCTTTGTAGCATTGAACACACCAGTCCATCCTGAGGCTGGTTGAGGTGGCTAAAACCATATTTTGTTTCAGAAACAAGGAAATGTAATGGTTTTTGAATTATTCATACAACAAACAGAAATTCACACTATTTGTGATAATTTTCAGTTATTGGAGATCAGTATGAATATAGTGTATGGTTGTTTATGATCAACCATTTTAAATCAAAGAACTGAAGATGTATATCATCAATAAACACCCACAGAATCAATACAAATATTTTATGTAACCAGAAAATATTTTTTGATTATTAATAGACAAAATATTATAATTAACCAGTAAAAAGGTATTTGAAAAATGTATAGTTCGTTTAAAATTGAAACAAAATATTGCCTAGCATGCCTGAAATCTTACACACATATATATACCTATACACTCACATTGGAGGGGCATTATGAATCATTCTTGGCTCTCCTGAAAACTGACATTATTTCATTTATGAGAAGTTGCCCAAATGGGTGTTTACAGAATCTTCAAGGGCTTCACATTGCTGTGTTAATCAGAGCCTGGGAGATTGATAAAGGAATCCTTAACTGGTCATCAGGGATGCCCAATGCATCCCTCCAAGGATGATAATGCATGCTCTCCTCCAAGAAATTTTATTGTTCTACTCTTTTTAAAAAGATTCAAGTAAAAGTAGAATGATAAAAATTGTTTACATTTTCTGTCTTCCTCAATCAAAATATAGTGGGGGCGAGAATTTTGTTTTGTCCTTCGAAATCCCTCCTCTCTTCCAATATTTCGAAGGATGAAAATAATAACTTTTAATCCACGTTAATGAATAAAATATGTAAACTAAAATCTATTAAGAAAATGGGAAAAGTCTATTAGATGGTCTGCGCCTGTGTCCATATTCTAATCCCACAAAAATATGGTTCTCTTCAAATATTCGATCCTATAAAAATGTGCATCCTTAAAAAATTCATAAAAATTGGTTTCCTAAAAAATGTAGATGGCTTGACTTGAGCCATGCATTTCTACAGCTCTGGACAGAGGAGGATCTACAGGTGGCGGGAGGGCTTTCAGGCTGAAGTGCCCCTCCAAAATGCTAAAATATAACCCTGTTTTATCGAAACATATATTTAAAAAGTATCTCTTAAAGTATTATTGTGCGTGTAATTACATTTAAAAGGGCTTTAGGAATCACTTAAACACCATTTCATATAGGTAGTTAGCTTCTTTCTTTTTTTCCAAAGTAATTATCGTTATTTTTATGAAAAAAAACTTTCGAGCTGAAGCCCCTCCCCCCAAAATTAAATCCTGGATCTGCTAGTGGCTCTGGAGATAATCAACAAATCTGCCAGAGTGAGAAACATAGTCCTTTAATTGGGTTACAACCATTGTTCATTGAACTACTCAACTCCAATATTATTGCTCGTTTTGCTGTTTCCATGAAGGTTTCAGAAATTCTATTAAATGAATACATGACGATTTTTTTCATCCTAAAAAATTCCAAGGAATCAGAAATGATTACTTTGATGCATTGTCAAAGGTCCTCTTTCAGTAGGGGTGAACCCATTGTATCTATTAATTCCTTGATCTTTTAGCCAAGATGGTGAAGGGATTACTAACGCTTCCTTCTTGACGATAACTTGGGCACTTATTTGTGGATGTGAAAGGAAGAACTCGAACATTGCTGTTTGCTCTCTAGACGAGTCATACACTGCTTGGGCTACGTTCAGTGTGCTGACTGCCTAATAGAAAAAGTCAAATGTTGCTTTATTTGATGGTAAGGGAAACTGATATCAAAACATCTACAGTATTATGAAAAGGTTTGGAAACGAAAATAACAATGCAATTATATTTTATAATGATAGATTTTTCAATACATCTCAGTCCTTTTCATATGAAATTTTCCCGAAGGTACCTGCCTGTTTCGCTTAACCATGTGATTTTTTCATTTTCCAATGTCCAAATATTGGTTTTCTAATATGAATTCCAAACAGCAGAAGCATATTCCAAAATTGGCCGGTCAATGGATACGTAGTGTTGTAGTAAAGAATAAGTATAGAAATCAAATTTTGTTTCTGAATGAAACCAAGAATCTTATTGGATTTTCTAACAATGTTTAATATATGATTTCTGAAATTTAAATGATAATAAAAACGTATGCACAAACCTCGAATTGATTACTCTTTATTTAAGGGTTAGTTGGATACACGGGCAGATCTACGGGGGCGGGAGGAGGGGCTTTCGGGCTGAAGCCCCCTCCCCAAAATGGAAAAATATAACCATGTTTTATGGGAAAAAAAATTTAAAAAATACCTCTTAAAGTATTATTGTTCGTGTAATTACATTTAAAAGTACTTAAGGAATAACTTAAACACCATTTCATATAGGTAGTTAGTTTCTTTCTATTTTTCCAAAGTAATTATCGTTATTTTTATGAAAAAAAAAGGTTTCGGGCTGAAGCCTCCCCAAAATTAAATCCTGGATCCGCTAGTGGTTGGATAGCTGGTACTAGAAAATAAAATATGAAAAATGATGCTATTTTTCATTTATTGATATGGATATTCATTTTATTGAGGTAGCAAAAGTTGGCAAGATTATTAAGATCCTGTTGAAATTGTTAACAACCAAGATGTTAAATGTGGTGCAATATGGTTTATAAACTATTGGTCAAATTTCCGAGAGCCAGAAACTTGCCAGTTAAATAAGATCAAAACCAATCGGTCACTTAATGAAGAGTTATTATTATGATTATATATACATAAAGTAATTCTCTAAAATGAAAAAAAATATGTTTTACAAAAATAAGCACAATCGTACCATAAGCCTAAGCTCAGCGACAGGGGGTTTGGCATAAGGTATGCCAGTGAAGGCAGCGTACTCCCTTCCATTCCTGGATCGTAAGATCTGCCCTACAGCCTTTCCCTGAGATATAAATACTTCCGGAGCACCGAGAACTAAGGGGCTCAGCCCCAGGATCGCCAAAGCTATAAGCGGCGACATTTACCCTATGAGACTGAACAACTCATCAAATTTTAATTCTTAAATAAAGTCAACTTGAGTGCCTTGTCGTGAGTCACTTATGTTGCTGAAACCTCTCAAAATAGTTCTCTGTTTTACCCTGTTAGAATTGGAGTATCATTAATGTTATTAATAACAAAAGATAAAGGGATTTTCACAAAGATAATTCAAGAGTATATCTCTAAAGATTATCGAAATTATTTATTCATTTTTTATTCCTACACTCTTACATTGGTAAAAAAAAAGTATTTTTCTTCGTTAATTTTATTAAAAATAACAAATTTCAAAGTGATTTTTTTGTATTTATAGTCTTGTAGAATATGTTTGCCAATAAGGAAGGCTATTAACATTTCAGCGATCTTTCTTCTAGAATATGCATGTCTATTTAAAGTTCAATTTTGAATTAGATTTTTAACTAAGGATCAGAAATTGGAGGACGTGAAGGCCCATCACATTGGGGCGTGGGTCCCAGAGTGCCCGGTTCTGGATGTTGTGGGTTCAATTCACACCTGGATCAAAAATTGATTTTTCATGGAACAGGTACGTATTCAAGATTTTATTTCCGAAGGGCATGACAATTTCACAGACCCAATAACTTAACTTAACGGTTAGACTATGAGAATATATCAACTCTATTATTATTCAAAACAAATCAACTCACCTCTTCACATTATTTGCAGATTTTGAAAATTTAATGTTTTAGAAAAAAAAAAAAAAAAGATTTGTCTCTAAAGTGCGAACATTTAAATATATCTTTCTGAAATAACCGATTATTTACTTATTAAATATTACCTTTTTACATATGTATACAAGATGTGCTGGTTGATTTCCGATACAATGAATAAGAAAATATGAAGGGAATATGGTGTTTAACTTTTTTTTTTGGAACAGTTTTGATTAAATGTATTTATTACGACGTTTTTTGACATTCTTTTGTACTTAAGTTCTGTTATTTCCATTCAAAATCAAATTGAACATTTCTTCATTACGTGCATTACTTATATAGATTTTAATCTGTACAAATAGCACTTGACCGTCAAACTGAGTATGGAACCACTCTGATAGCTTCACATCCGTAAAGAACTATAATCTTATCGTTTTTGAGTTTGGTTTTATATCATTGAGAACAAACAATATTTTAAAGATATAAATTGAAATCTATTGAAACTTGAAGTATTATATTTTTTTTTTCCTGTTGTCACTATCACAGGCGGATCGACGGAGGGCTTTCGGACAGAAGGCCTCCTCCCACCCCTCCTCACAAAATGGTGTAAAATATTACCATGTCTTATGAAAAACATATACAAAAGTGATCTCTAAAAGTATTATATTATTTGTATAATTACATTTAATGGGACTTAAATAGTCACTTAAATGCCATTTCGTATAGGTAGTTAGTTTTTCTTTTTCTTCCTAAGTAATTATCATTATATTTAAAAAACTAAAAAAAAAACTTTCCTGGTGAAGCCTCTCCCAAAATGAAATCCTGGATCCGCTAGTGGTCACTACTGACAGATAGATCTTTGGCGGCGTGATGTATTTTCCTTGTGTACAATGCGCTATGGGTTGCATTGGCAGTGTATGGTTATCCATGACCGATCCCTTCAGGCCCGATTAAGGAATCCTTTCCACTGATAAATGCGAGTCCAATAACAATAATAAAACGAATTAGGTCCATTGTTGACAAACTGTTGAAGATCATCAGCCGCGTTAGAACCCACATTTGTTATTCATAATAGATTTTGGAAACATATGTTTACATACACAATGGGCAGTAGTTTGGTGGAGGGCACACACGGATTTACGGGGGGGGGGCGGCTTTCGGGCTGAAGCCTTCTCCCCAAAACGGTAAAATATAACCATGTTTTATAGAAAAAAATATTAAAAACTATCTCTTAAAGTATTATTGTTCGTGTAATTACATTAATTAGGACTTCAAGAATCACTTAAACACCATTTCATTTAGGTAGTTAATATCCTTCTTTTTTTTTCAAATTAATTATCGTTATATATTTGAAAAAAAATCTTTCGGGCTTAAGCCCCCCCCCCCCAAAAATTAAATCCTGGATCCGCTAGTGGTGGAGAGTAGAGAGATGAGGATGTGATACTCGTTCGTCAACTCATCCAGATTCGCGACAAAAAATTGAAATGTAATTTATCTTTTAAAATATAAACTATTATGATATATTCAATCTCAAGCACACGCTTTAATAAAATTTATACCGCTATTTATACCAGGACTTGGTCATGGGATATGGGAGTTCCGAGAATAGCCACATTTTGGTAATTCCGCTGTTTTCTCGCGATTTTAGTGGCACTTTAAAACAGATTATGTTTACCATTTCAACGTAATAAAAATGATAAACGTATTTTACCTCTTTTGATGAGGAACATTTTTAAAAATTGTGATACAGGCACTAATAAGTTGTATAGACACGAAAATATAAAAAAAATCCTAACTTCATTTCAGTGATCAAAAAAGTCCTTTTTTTTGTTAATCTATTTATTGATGAAAAAGTTATAAATACAAATATATCAAGAAGAAAAAATTGTAGATCTCAATTTATTTATTGTATTTTTATCATAAGAATCGATTACAAATATTTAGAACCTGATACTTTGAATTGATTTTAATTGAATTTGTTAGTTTAATATAATGTTGATTTGTTCAGGCCAAAGACTAATTCTTTTGGCTGAATGAAAAAATTTCTATTAACTTTTTCCCTCTTGGAAGGTTCATTTCAAAAATCTCAAGGCCCATTAAACTACCATGTTCCCACCCTCAGATATTTGTGGTGGGGGAACTTGAATCGTGACGCGAGGACTAGACCCCAAGAGCTACCTATTGCTCTGTTAAGCCTATCACTGAAGGTTTATTTCAATATTATTGTTTTTTTTTTTTTCTTGTTTAATTTATTGAAGGGAGTACTTGTCTGAGTTTGTGACGTTTGAAGATAATTTCAAGTAGGTAAATAAATAAATAAGATTAGATACCTAGATTAAAATTTTATGAAAATTACATACTAGACCTGAAACAAAAAGAACGAAATTGATGTAAAGATTATTTTTAAATTCTTTATTTCAAAATTACCTACTGTAAATAATATACATATATTATATTACACAAATTTATCTTAGAAAAAACGAAGATTTATGTTTACTTAGAAAAACAGAACAACATTGTAGCACAGTTTCCAATTAATTTTGTTTGTAGATCTTGTGAGTATTTCGTTTAATAATATAATTATATTACAAGGATGGACAAATTGTCAGGATTAATTAGCAGTAAACATTTCCTTAAATAAAAATTGAAAAAAAATGATCAAATTTTTTTTTAATTTAAAAAATTAACAAATTTTTTTTTAATTTAAAAAATTAAAAAATGTTGGGTGTAAATCATCATATAATTTTTCATCCATATAATTTTAACAGTCAACTACTTATTCATCTTTATAATAATTTTATGATGAGTATTTTTTTTTTAATAACATATTACACAGAATTCATTGTTATTAATATTTCTTACATTTTTCATAATTGCATATCCATTATGGAATCTTATAGAATGCTGGGTACAAGGTGTGCAGTTGCATCTTGCAACAATAAAAGAATTTTAAAAATATCATAAGAAACCCATTATAGTAAAAAAAGTTGTCCAATTTTACAATTTTTCTTAGAAAAGAATATGTAGAAATTGAAAAAGAGCGAGTAAAAGCTTTCTTTCAAAAACGTGTATTTATAAGAATACAATTTTTAAATACCAAAAGAATTTTACACTAATCAAGAAAACCTAATAGCAAAGACAAAAAACTTGAGAAAAAAATCACTGTGTAGGATTAAAAATGTCATATTTACAAAAATTCGTAGAATGAATATGCTTCTTTAATTTTGGATTAAATAATCCTTTTTTGTAAAAAGATAGTTCTATTATTTATTTATTGATCCTCTACCCCTAAGGGTCGTTGGCTTAATGTCTCCATTTTATATTCCTCATCTTGCAGGATTTCTTTCATTTCCATTCCCATTTGTAGATTTTCCCTTATATCAGTGTGCCTACTACATTCGAACAATATATGCTTCACTGTTCTGGGTAATTGCCAATGTGTGCAAGTTGGGTCTTCTAATTCTCCAAGGAGGTACCCATGAGAAAACTCACAGTGTCCGATTCTTAGGCGACATAGTAATACTTCTTCTCGTCTAGATTTTCGGTTTGATGAGTTCCATTTTATAATTTTTTTTTTAATTTCTTGAAGTTTTGCCGAACTCATTTCCCATTCACTGTTTCTCTCCAGACCTGACACAGCTGCATTTTTTTGTTTGGGGTGGCATTAAACAAAAAGTCTATGCAAGTCCGGTCAATGACGGATTATGAAGAAGGATAATTGAATCTTGTGAAACAATAACACATATCCAGTGCCGTTCTGCCACTGCTGCTGTTGAAGAAGGATGCCGAGCTTGTCTTAATGCTCAAGAAAATCATTTTTAACAACATTTAATATGAATTTAATGTTCATTTTTAATTAATAAAGTAGGTGGAACAAATAAATAAGTTTTATTTACTTAATACAACGCAAATAATTCATAACAAAGAAAATCTTTAGGTGCCAATATCTCAAAGCGTTTGCGGACATGCCTTCATAGGAATTTTTTTTCTTGTTTTGAGATCCTTAATTCATACTTTCAGTTTGGCCACTTAACCCTGAAACACTCTGTATAGGTTTTGATAGAAGAATAAATAGAGAATGAAAATAAATGATCCATATTTTATTAAAAATATTCAAATTTATTAGTAAAAAAAGTAATAGTATGTACAGTATAATAAAAAATATTTATTTACATCATATTAAGAAACAAACTAATGTAATAATATTATATTATTAACATAATAGCATGTCTTAATTTTTTTTTTATACTAATGCCTAATTAATTTATTAAATACTAAGAAGATTTTAAAAACAAAAAATTATTGTTATTTCTGAAAATTCACATGTATTATATTTTTTCTTGTCATTTTTTTTCAATTTAAACTTTTTTCATTTGTTTTCCTGCTCGCCTGTTGGATCATATTCAGTTATTAATGTTACTTAATATTATTCCAAAAATCAATAACTTCTTTGAAATTTGAAAAATTTTCCATTTTTATTTCATCATTTGTGATATGCAAATAACTTGCATAATCTCCAAATGGTTTCCATTCTAATCCTTCTATATATGGAACTCTGCAAAAAAAAAAATAATAATAATAATAATTAAACACTCAAATAAACAACTATTTATACATTTTTTTATAGAAATATATTTAGAATTAGTTAGATATAATTTTTTCATATCAAAAATTTGACCCTATGACAATACTTTCCCTAATTTGTGACGGAATGAAAGTAAAAATGTTTCTATGAAGTCAAATATCTTGTATATTTGTTAATAATAGTACCATTCAGACGTTTTATGTTTTTTAAATATAGAATTTAATGTTATTATGTATCAGGGGAGTATACGATATACTATGTTTACTTTTTGATTTGTGTGCTAATACAATTTTCTATATATCAGAATTTGTGTCATTTCAATTTTTAAATATTCGTTAAGTTTCAAAAGACTTTAATAAGATGACTTTAGGCAAGTTTCATCAAAGTTATTAGATATGTTTTGGGTATACAGTCCATATACCATAAACCATGTACTACAAACCGGAGTTACTTTGGGATTAGAGAGTTACTATGAACTAGATTTTATTTTGAATATGAAATTTCCTGGCTGCCTAAAACATTTTTATATTGAGACAAATTTTGTTTAGTCTTGATATAACAATTTTCCAGTCCACCAGGTGATTTCAAATTCAAAATACACTCGAGTATATGGTAACCCCTTAGTCCCAAAGTAACCCCGGATTTTCTGTTTTTAATTATTGAAAAAAAAAATTTAATGCATATTGATCACTTACTGATGTGTGGCAAAATGAACCCATGCCTTTACTAATGTTTTTGAGAGTTCAATATCCTTTGGCCCAGGCCATCCTTCTGGTATGAAATAGTTGCTTACATTGAAGAAATAGGCTGCATCATCACCATGGCATACTCCTTTATCATAAAAAGTATTATTTAGTTAATGTGTCATTTTTTATAAGAATAAAATTTATAAGCGTTAACTAAACATTAATTTAATTATCATAGGAAATAATGGTTAATCACATTTCTTTCTTTTTTTCAACATTTTCCAATTAATTTTTGGATAATTTTTTTATGTATTCTTTTTATTCTTTTTTATATCTTTATATTGGTTAATAATAAAAATAAGTGTATTTGGTTGATAAATAAACTATATCTCTTATTGGAAAACTAATAGCAATTTTCTTTTTTAAGAAATAAGAAACAAACATTTGATAGATTTCAGAATTTATTATTCCACGTGTCCTTGAGACAGATTGTAATATTTTTCAATAAATAAGTTAAAAAAAAAAAATATTCCACAAAATACCAACACATGTCAATTTAGCGTTTACACTAAACCAACACACTACACTTTGCAATTTAAAATTTTAGAAAGAAGTATTGAATTTCAATAACTGTGTTATATCTCATTACTAGTAAAAAAAAAAAAAAATGTAATTCTTATTTTCTTACCATCGATTTGAAGTGATCTATTTGATATCTGTTCCCAGAGAGAAGGACCTCCAGAGTATTGAAAACGATAGAAATACTTTGGACCATTATGCCGCACCATTTCCTTAAGAATTGGGTATTCAAAAAATGTTTCTGTGAAAAACTAAAATAAATAAAGGTTTAAATATTTTACCAAAGGTTCCAAGAATATGCTTGGGTGTAAAAATGATGTATTTGTTAATTTACATTTAGGATATATTATGTATATTTAGTTACTTCCAGTAGTATGTATTTCAAGGGCATTTAATGTACTTATATATGCTGTCTTAAAGGGTCGATAAGTCCTGATAATTTTACTATTTATTTAAGTTATAACAACATTTTGAGCTACTTTGCTCATTTTCAAGTTATCCATAACAATCCTTGTTGTAACTTGAATAAATAGAAAAATTACAAGGCCTTATCTATCCCTGAAGATACCATATATAGGATATATTATTTTTTTACATTCTAAAAAATGCAATCCATTGAACATATAGTCTATAACCTTTTTATTCTTCTTTCAGTTTCACTAAATATTATATTTATTTTATATTATTTTATGTTCAATAATAATGATAATACTTATACTGATAATAATAATACTTTTTGAGTTATGTGCTAATAAAATTTTTTTCATATCAACATTTCTTTCTTTTAAAATTAAATTTTGTTATAGCACTATACATGAAGTTTTAAAATGCTTTAAATAGAAGACTTTTAGGCAGGTTGCATCAAAATCATTAGATTTTTTTTATCTTATTTTAAGAAATATTATTTTATTACAATCTAAAAAAGTTAATTCATTGAACATTCAGTCTGTAACTTTTTAATTCTTCTAGCAGTTTCACTGAACATTATCATATTTATTTATTGTTTTAATTTAATTTTTTATTTATTTTGTGTTCAGTAATAATGATCATTGTTAATGGTTATTATTTTATGGTTGTTACAAACCTATCTTATTCTCGTTTGTTTTTATTATATATTATTAGAATTCACTTCGGATAAGAAAAAAGAACATTTTTTTTTCACTGATAAATGAACATTGAACTATTATTTTTCCATGAAATACTTGTTGTAAAAAACTAAGATTTTTTTAACTGATTAAAACCTTTTTTTTTTTTTATCTTGTAAAATGAGTGGTTGTTAGTTTTATAAATTTATTATGAGAAAAATCTATAATCTTATGGAATTATAATTATCATAATTGGAATTCTAATGTTTTCATCAAAATAATTTAGAAAATTGTCTTATTATTCTTTTTAAAAAATGTTAAGTTATAATTAAAATTCTTATGCCACCAAACAAGGAGGTTAAATAACTATTTTCTGTGAGAGCTCATTTCTGTATGTAAAAGAAGCGTTCATTAAATATTTTCATTGAATTGCAATTCATATTATCATTAACAAGATTATTAAGTATTATTGTTAAAGTTTATTAATTTAAGGCCATTTGTAATTCAATTATTTTTTAAAGGTTAATTTTACTTTTTATAAACAAATAAAATATATTATTTTACATATTTGTTATAAATAAGAAGTTTATTTTAATAATAAATGTCTTATAATACAGTCCAGTTCAAATAAAGAAAGAAATACATATTTTGTTATTTTGTTTTAAGTGTCATTGTATAAAACAGTGGTAGTGTTAGGAGTCAAATTACACAATATTTTTACAAAACTGGAGGTAATTCTCAGCATATTCTGTAACCGATCTCACTTTAATTATTATGGACTTCAGCATACTAAACATGGTTTTTTTACAAAGTAGGCAATTTATAGTTTAATAAAAGGCTAATAAAAAAATCATAAATAAATCATGATTTATAGAAAATCAAATAGTGAAATTTAGAAAACACGAAATATATAAAAATAGACAAAATTTAAATTCAATGTTTTCTGTTTGGAATCATAAAATTGTCCAAATGGACTTCTTTGTTGCTCTTAAAGTCTATTTTCATTTTGTTAAATATTTTTTCCACTCTGTATTAATTTGTGGACGCCTGATAAATATTTGTGTGAGTGTTATTTTTGTCTTTGTTTTTATATATGAAGCCAAGATCACAAATAGTTCACATAATTTTTACTGTACATAAAGAAAAACAATCCACTATTTAATACTTACTCTCTCATAGTCAGATAATAGATGAAGAAGATCCTTCCAATGAAAAAACCTCTCAGTAATTTTAAGTAATTCTATTACAACATTATCTTTTAAGTGTAACGCTTTTGCTACCAGCACATTTCCTGCCAAATAAAATCCTAATTTTTGAAATGGTGTTGCAAAGTCCTTTACATCTGAAATTAGCAAAGTGTTAAAAAATTGTTTCATAGTTATTTTTAAAAAAAAGTAATGGAAAATATATCATTGTGGTATAATTTGAAAAAGTAAAACAAAATAAAAATAAAAAAAATATATATATATAAATACAATTCAAATTCATCTAAAAATAAGTAAAACATTTCGATAGGTAAGTTTATCTCAATTTATGATTTCATACTGTTCAATCTAAGAGTGCGAAATAATAGATACTAATGTACATACATTCAGTAATGAGGAGTCCTTCATTTGCCATAACACCAGCTATCCACGGAAAATCAGAGTAACCTGTAGGCCATTGGGTGATCACAGCTGTGTCAGAAGGTTTCTCCAAGACAGGAACTGGTAAATTAGTTATGTGCTGTGGAATCAATCAAAGTTTTTATGTACATTATTATTTTGCACCTTTTATTCTTTGAGTCTGTAGTCATATTATTTTTTGTAGTACTAAGTTAATTTTGCTCACAATTGAATATAAAATTGTAATTTTATTAATAATTTATCTGTTTTAACAAACAAAACAAGTTGATTTTTAAATTATCTCTAATTAAGTTCTAAAGTAGTCAGGAGGTAGCTAGTTAAATCCTCTAGATCTTCCATTTCATGGCACCTACTTCCCCATATCAGCACAATTTATCTCTAAAAACTGACTTTTATAGTTCACTTGACCGTAGGAATCAATCCACAAATGGATTCTGGTTCATGATAATTAAATTATCAAGTATATTTATGATGAAAATGATTCCATACATACCTATTCAATATTTTTTAGATTTGTACTACTTATTTTCATAATATCTACTAATTTTTTTGCTTTTAACAAAGTGTTGTTATTAAAATCCAATATAACTACAGAAATATGTATTTTTTATTCCTTTTTCTTAAAATATATAATTTATTTTTCTTTTAATACCTTCTTTTTAATCAATGGCTAATTAAAAATTCTTTATATTTCTTTTCCATAACTACACTTTTTTTAAAAATGAAATTAATTGCCATTAGTTATGTTATTAATATCAGTTAAGAAAATAGTGCACAGAAGTGAGTTCCATGGCACAAGATGTGCTATCAAAACTTATGAGAAATTTTTCAAATAATTTTAATTTTTTAGGAAAGAAAATTTGATGGTATTTTGAATTTTCAGAGCGAACCATATTTTTATGGTTTGAATTATTGTGGGGTTTCAATTTGATTGAACTTTTAAACCAGGGAACAAGAGAAAATGCACGGGATAGACAAGTGTAATTGACTTATTTGCGATTACACAGCAAGTGTAACTAGAAACACTGGCGTGTTTCTAATTTTACTTTAATTTTTACTGTTTTTAAGAAGAGGAAAGTAATAAAATTTCTTGAGAGATGGGCGCCCTCGATTTAAAAGGTACTCCATTAATTCTTATGAACACTCATCACAATTATCAAACTAATTTATAAAGAAATATCACATTATGTTGTATATGTTTAACCTAAGAAATAATAGCTTACTTCTATATCAGCTGTAGTAATGAAAGACTCAACTGGCTGAGCCTGAAGACATGTTAGAAGTTCAGAACCAGAATATGAATCACAGCTTAGTTTTTTTGCTAGTTCGAGAGCCATTTCTCTTGCCTCACCAGGTGCATGAAGTGACCAAATAGTACCAGCTACTCCACTTTGTGATATACAACCTTTGAGTAAACCTACGAAAGACACGATACTTGAGATTCATTTTCAATTAGTTTCAAATCATTCTTGAAGATTAAATAATTCATCAATTACTAACTTAAAATAGCAGTTTGCCTTTACTATATGTATAAAAAAACAAAACTAATTAGTATAATTAAATATTCAGGAGTGGGATGGCTCAGTGTTAGGGTGCTGAGCTTCTAATGCTCAAGGTTCCAGGTTTGAACCCAAGCTTTTGGTAGATAAATTATTTATTCTGTTTCATCAGCCATGGATTGACTCCTGAGTTTCATTCCATGGGTTCGCCAAAATAAAAGTCAACCTCTCTACGGCCAGATTCGAACTGGCATCTCTGAGGTGGAATACTTGACAGTTGAACGCGATGTCTCAGTCAGATCACCTCCTTGTATAACCGATGACCAAGAAACAGTACCTTCCCTACATAGTACTGAACCCTAAACCTTTCATCATGGGTTGTAATGGTACATGTATAATTAAATATTATTATTAATTATATTAATAATTATGTTATTATTAAATATTATTAACATTATTAGTAATTAGTTTTAATAAATCACCTTGTGCTTTTGGGATAGAACATAAATAGTGGGATGAAGCAGCTCCAGCACTGATTCCAAATACTGTTATCATTTCTGGATTTCCACCAAAGTTCTTTATTTCTTGTTTTATCCACTCCAATGCAAGAACTTGATCTTTTATCCCATAATTTCCTGGTACCACATCATCCTCAAAGCTCAAAAAACCTATTCAGATTAAAAAAATAATTAAATTTAATTCAAACTAATTGGTATTGCAGCCATTAGTTATTTTATAGCACTTTAAACTATTTAAATAATTTTATTTTCTCTTACTGAATGAATTAATTGTAACAATTGTATTTTTATTTTAAAATTTTCAAAATTTGTCAACTAATAGTAAGAATCGATGTTGTAAAGACATGTTCAGATTAACTGATAATTAAAGTTTCAATTTATATAACCAGGTATTTTCTTTTAATTATTATTTTTGCTTTTCAAAGGATGAAGAGAAACAAATCATCATTACTAAAAGAATAAAAAAGAAAAATCTAAAATCATCATGCAGAATCAAAAACTACACATATACCTCTAAATGCAATATTGTTAAAAGTATGTAATTCAGTTTAAGGTATCTTCTCTCCGTGATTATTGATCAGATAATTAAATCCATAGTTTTGATCCATAGCATTTCTCTACATAATTCCATCCAAAAATTATAACAACTTTGTTTAAAGAATAATGGAATAACTCATAAAATAATTAAATTAATATCTTTGACAGTGGACTGAGAGTTTTTTAAGACTCTGATTTGTAATGAAGAAGGAAAGTTTGAAGTGTAATCGGATAGGTGACATCAATCCATTAATCTTCTGAATATATGTAAGATCAAAGTGCTTTTAATATTAATGTTACCTATATTTCGCTTTTATTATTTTTATCGTATACTGGTTGCAAATATGTTAACATAAATGTATACTTACATTTATCTATAAGTTGATTAATTTACTTGTGTTTGTCTTTTACTTAAAACAACCATTATTTCAGAGTTTTATAATTTAATTATTTCATAATTATCATTTTATGACAGACAAAAGTTAATAGAATTGTACATTTTCATTAATTTTTGGGGACAAAGCATCCATAGTAAAATTTACTTTTAATTTATTAATTCAGTCTTGACACAGTCTTAAATGGGAGAATCCTCAATAAAACTTTGAGGCAACATTGAGGCTACACTGATGATGAGATATCGACAGAAATAAAACAACTCTTACAGAAGTTCTCAAGATCATACTAGAAAATATTTGAATATAGATGTTCTTATTAATGAAGAAAGGATAAAATACTTGAAAATGGCAGCATTAGAAAATAAAAAAACCTTAGACAGCATCAAAATCCTTAACTTTATCTTTGAAATTTTGTTGAGATTCATATCTTTGGGTTCTTCTTTAAAGATTATTTTGGCATTGGCAGAGGAAGTTGATGAGATGTGCGGTCAGAAAATCAGGAGTTCATATGCTAGAACTACACTTCATCTGACATCACAGAAACTTGGGTTCGCTGATAATTTGGATGTAATGGGAACATGTTTTTGTACCAGAAAAGAGGCATACCTAGCCCTCATGAACGCAGCAGAGAGGGTTTGACTCTTAGACAAAGGGTTAAATGAAATATATATGACGACACACCTAATAGGCATGGATCAGCAGCTACTTATAGTTAAAATTGGGAAATTCACTATTGTGAGATTGAATGAATTCGTATACCTTGGCTCTCAAGTAAACAACATGCAACAGAAAATTAATAGAAGGCTCATCACAGCTAATGGTTTATTTTGGTTTACAGAAACACCTCAAAAGCAAAACATTATCTGTGACTATAGAATTTCATCACCCTCATAAGATCAGTAGTAGCGCCTGAATACCCTCACTAAATCCCAAGAGCAGATACTATTGAAATTCTAATCCCGATTTAATAACTATTTTAGCTTTATCATAATTATATAATTATCATTGACATACTTTGCTCAAATGATATAATTACATCATGTCATTCAAAATGAGGAAAAACCTTACCCAAGTTTCCAAGACGGTATGCTATTCCAACTACAACCACATCTTCATCCATGAAATAACTTGGTTTTATAGCAGTTCCAGGCCATCCATACATATAGGCACCTCCATGGACATACACCATTACAGGCAATGAGGCTTTTAACTATGAAGAGAAGAAATAATTAATTAAGTTAAGGAATAACTCAATATAATACAAAAGCAGCAATTTTGCCATGGCTCTTATATAATTTTCACATACGTTTGGAGTATAAACATTTAAATAAAGACAATCCTCCTGGCCTTGCATTCCTGTTTGAGACATAAGAAAAGATTTTTGGTAACAAGGTGGACTAGGAACTGTTGCATCTAGCACACCATCCCAAGGTTGAGCTGGTTGTGGAGCCTAAAAAATAAAAACTGACATTATTTGTTTTAACTATAATCACCAACTATTTAGTTAACGATTACTTAAAATAGAAGATCTATAAAAACTATTCACATTTAGCACCTAATTTGGAAGTCACAGAAATTTTCATCCAAAACAATAATTTATATATATATTTACCCTTAAGTGGAATAACTCGAGGGAACGAGCTTAGCCAAATGTGGGTTGCGATGATTGCAACATTGTTTTCTAGCAAAACTGAAACCCAAATAATGTATTCTGCAAATATCTGAATTTTGAAGTGCTGGGCGTTATTTACATCATAGTTGATTTATCCTAGAGTCCATTTCACACCGAAGATGCATGCATCTAAAACACTAGACCATGAAATTTAACAGAACTTCCACACAGAAGATGCAAGTACGTATCATCCTGCATCCTGGATGTAAGATGCAAGATGCATGCATCTAAAACACTAGACCATGTAATTAAGCGAGAGCATTCATATAGAAGATGCAAGTACGTCTAGCATCCTAGATGTAAGTAGCAAGGTGCATGCATTTAAAACATTAGATCATGTAATTGGACGAGAGGTTTACACAAGATGCAAGTGCGTAGCATTCTGGATGAAAGACGTTCATGCCTCTTGAGAACCAGCCGGCTGGAGATTTCAGCGGGCATCTTTGTTGTACTCGCCCCTTACACCTCCTCATGCCCCGCTCCAAGTGTTTCAAGTGTGGTTCCATGTGACCAATAACTGTTTACAAAACTCTCCATTTTATAATAAGCCTGAAACTTTACTGGATGGTTCAGTAATTGCTGTGACGCAATAACAATAGGGCTATATTCTGCTGCATTGTTCACGTAGTGATGCTGCCATAAACTATTCCTTCTTTGTCTTTGTCTTCTTCTGAAAGTACAAGACACAATTATAATTCCGTCGCTTGAAGAGTAGGATTGATCATTCATATTTCAAACTGACGTACTAAACTAAACAGAGATAGTGGATATAAACAGAAGGTGCAAGTGGCCCATACATCTTTTGTTTGAGAGCCCTTTCATCAAGATACAAGACGCACATGCATCCTGCATCCAGCATGAATGTATTTTATGTGTGAAAGGCTCCTAGGAAAAACAATGGTTCAAAAACGGAACTCTTGGGAACACTGAACCGGTAATGCTCTTCAACCATTGTTTTTCCTAGGGCTCTCAAACAAAAGATGTATGGGCCACTTGCACCTTCTGTTTATATCCACTATCTCTAACTACGAATTTTCATAGCAACCGAAAAATAAAATTTTCGCCTAACATCCAGCCCACGATTTTTTTGTTTGTTATAAATTACAAAAGTAGTTTTGACTTAAACATGATACAAAAATTAACAGGAGTTTAGAACCGTTGAAACTACACAAAATGGCACAAACTAGACTTCCTTAAATTAAGTAGAACCATAACTATAGAACAAAGTAGAGTTATAAAATAAAAATCTTTGAGGAGTATTTCTTTATTTATTTCTTACAAAGGAGTAAAATCTAAAAGTTATTTTTATTATTTATTGAGTTATTTTGGAATAATAATAATCCACTTTTCCAAAGGTTATAGTAACATTGAATAGTAAGAAAGTCCTGAGGAGCTCCAAATGCTTTAAGAAACGGCATGAAAAGAATTCTGCAATAAAATTAAGTCCAAAAATACATGGTAGTTGCGAAAAATTGTTTGAATTATTAAATAATGGCAACAATAAGATCATATTTACAATAGAAAAACCTATAAATAACACTATAAGATATTTGGATATTAATATCATAATAAATAAAAAATCAAATAGAAACATATTGGATTAGGTAAGAAAAATGCAGTGATCTCATATTAAATTATTACTCGAACCACCCTAAACATCAGATTATAAATACCACCGTTAATCTGATTATTAAAGCGATAAAAATTACAGACACAAAATATAACAAGAAGATTAAAAACAATATATACAATATTATGGTGAGTAATTTGTATCCACAAAAAATGGTTAAAAAACTGTGGTATAAATATATAAATAATAAAAATAATGACAACGCGAAAGATGATAGCCGAGATAAAACACCTAAAAAGAATTTTAACATAACAAACAACAACATGAATAAGAGAAATAAAAATCTCATAACGAATTATTTTAAAGTGTTGGACGGCGAGGAAAGAACAAAGGATGACAAGCAAAAGGATACACAAAAAGAACAATACTGTGAATATAATATATATCACAAATTAAAATACATTCCGAAATTGACGGAAAAAATAAAAAATGTTTTTTTTTATTTTTCCAACTATTAATTTCGATGGTTCGACAAGAATGAAAGTTAACCAGCTCAGCCGGCTTCTATGTCTGTTTCTGACTCTCTGAATCTTCCGATTATTTTGGTTTTATTTATATTCTGCTTTGACTTTTTAGGCACATTGATTGAAGAAAACCATAAATGACACTCACCATAAACCTCAACCCATCCACGGGCGGTTCTGCGTACGGAACACTCTGGAAGGCGCTGTACTCTCTCCCATCCCGAGACAGCAACGTCTCCCCTACCATCTTCCCCAGGGATACGGTCACCTCAGGGGCACCGAGAGCCGAAAGGCTCATCCCCAGGATCACGAAAGATGTAAACACTATCATATCATTCATAAAACTGCAAAACTTCATCAACCGTCACCTTCTTTATCTCTTTAAATAAAGTCGGATCGAGTGCCTTGTTGAGAACTTTTCCCCCTAAAGATAATGAATATGGGCTGATGGCAGATAACAAGAAGATACTTTGGTATTAGTTTGATCTTTATTAATGATTAATTTTCTATCCTTTAAGGAGATATCGCACTGCAGCTTTTGTTATGGTGATATTATTACCTATGATTATGAACAAATAATTGTAAAAAATAACTATTGGAACATCGGTATGTTCTAAAGATAAACACTAGTACTAGAGTATGTGGATATATACTCTAATACAACTAATATAATTTATCATTTTCTCCCTTCTTTTTAACGAAACCCTCAGCTATTTTCAATATTATGTTTTACAATTACTATTAACTAGTTAATTAATATTTTTATGAATAAATCTGTTATTAAACTAAACATGAAACTTTTAAAAGTTTTCATTAGAATATATTTTCGGATTTATAATTATTATTTATGCGTGATAAGAAGTAAAGCTTACGTTTGTAATGAATTTATATTTGACAAGCTGACCCGTGCGAATACTCCGCACAAACCAGATAACATTTGTATCACATCTTAATACATTAAGAGCTCAGCACAACTTCCATTCAATAATGTTTGATACGCAAAAGTTTAATACATATATTCAGTAAGCTATCGATTTGTAAATTTGATTTCACACTCTGCCATGGTTTAACCATTGCCTTTTCTTAAACTTTTAATTTAAATCTCAGCTTTTTACAGCACTGGTTTATTAAAAATTTACCAAAGTTTCAAAGCATTTCTTTAAATAGCTAATGACGGCAAAGGAAAAAAAAAAAAGCTCGAATTCTCAGGCAGGTGTATTTAGACCTAGCAGGATGTGTGTTACTTTACCATTAAACAACGCTGCAAATTATTTCACAATGGTTTATTATTTCCAAACAATTATACATATAAAGTAACATTACCTTCCTAGTTACGAAGAAAAATAAATAAAAGGTGATTCCAATTATTGGACTATACTTTTTTTTTTAATCATTAGTAATATGCTAAAAAAAATAGCATTACTTCAGTAACACATTCATAATTTAAAAAACAAACAAAGGATATAACATTTGGAGTAAAACATATAAAAAAACTTTTTTTTTTTTTTAGAAAATACAATATTGACAAAGAAGTGTAAACTTTTTGAGTTATTCGGAATTTAATTTTACCATGCCTCGTAAGTTTTTTCCAGCTTCTTTTCGTTGAAGTATGTCATACAGATAAATTTAAAGGGCGTCGAGAAAATGACTTTAGCGAAGTTTCATTGAAATCGGTTCATTCGTTTAGGAGCTACAGTTTTAGCAACGCAGGTTTTTCGGCCGCCATTTTGAAAGTAAATGCCGGATAGTAATGCCGATGAAGGAGGATTACCCTCGGGTGACCTCTGTTTTATATCAAAATTTGAAAAAAAAAAATCGGTCCAGTAGTTTCGGAGAAAATGCGCGGACGGCTGACGGACAAAAAAATTTTTTATTCGTTTTTCGAATTCTGCGCATCCTGAAACGTGAAACCTCAAATTTTGAGAGGGGGTTAAGTTTTTGATTTTTTTGGTCGATCACAATGGTTGATTGTTGAAAATAATAAAACAAAACGAATCATCAAGTGAATTTTAAAAATGATAAACTTCAGTAAAAAGATATAAAAGGAAAAGCTAATGTGATTGAGACAAATTGAAAAAAAAATCCAAAAAGTGTATAATGGAAGACACATTTATAGAAATAAAAAAACAACTAATAATATAATTAATTTAATAAACGTTTTGAAATAAAATAAAATAACTACTAATTGAACCATCATATACTGTATCCAAAAGGACCATTCCCAAAATCTTAAATTCCCAATACCATGAGCAACAGAATATTTGCAATACAACACTGGCGGATTCAGGATTTAATTTTGGGGAGGGCTTCAGCCCGAACGATTTTTTTTTCATATATATAAAACGATAATTAATTTTTGAAAAAATAAAGAAATTAACTACCTACATGTTAACGTGATTCTTGAAATCCTATAAAATGTAATTACACGAACAATAATACTTTAAGAGATAGGTTTTAATACTTTTTTCTATAAAACATCTTTATATTTTACAATTTTGGGGGGAAGCTTTAGCCCGAAAGCCCTCCCAACGTAGATCCACCTGTACACTACAATAAATACTAAATGTTCGTAACGCTATGCAACAAATCGTTCAATTTCGATGGTAGAGAATTCATTAAGCTTTCAAATACTCATTATAATGTGCACAAAATTACGTACTTTTCAAGTTATTCGTCAATTATGAATTTATTAAGACGTCGTTATCACATGGTTTGAAATCTCCTACTTTAACATTCACTTATACTCAAGTCCTAGTATAAAATTAGGAATCGAAATTACGATTCGCGAATTCTACGTGATATTTCCTTTCTATTGATACCTCATTCGTCAAAATAAATATCTCTTGAGAGCCGGAAAAGAGATATTTACAGACATAATACATAAGAAGATTATTTGTTACAATGAATTATTATTTACAATGAAAATATTTTAATTCAATTTTAACAAAAAAATAACTGTTATCGTGATATAAAATTGACACTTGTGGGTGTATTAAATATTTTTATCTTGATACGCACTCATTTTGATTTTTTATTTGTTAAGGCAAGATAAATGAAGCAGACATTAAAAAATAATAATAATAAAATTAAAACGGTGGTGTTTCTCTATTGAGTCATTATTTTCTCAGAGCTAAGAAGTAAGTAATTTGAAAAAAAATATCGTTTAAAAAAAGATTTAATTTAATATAATTTTTTTTACAGCTGGAATTAGTTGGTAAGAAAAAGAAACAAAAGAAAAAAAAAAAGTTTTCAGCCTTTAATTACTTCATTAATATTTGAACTAATAATAATAATAATAATAATAAAAGGCTTAGCGAACCCGAAGGTTCGATGCCGACACCACCAATCGCTTATTACACACCTCCCTCCACCGTTCGCCGTCCAAACCCAGTCCCTTCAGATCGGCTTTAATGCAATCTTCCCACCTTCGCTTCGGTCTACCCCTCGGACGCTTACCATTCGGCACCGCACATATTAACCTTTTAGGAATTCTCTCGTTACTAAGCCCAACAACTTTACAAGCCCATTTGATTACCTCAATTATATTACCCGGATACAGCTCACGCAATTCAGCGTTGTGTAACCGTGTGAACTCTCCGGTTAACTCATTCTTCTTCGGTCCGAATATTCTACGCAATACTTTATTTTCAAAAATCTTAAGACGCTGCTCATCCCTTAATGTAAGCGGCCAAGTTTCGCACCCATAAAGAACTGTAGGCAAGATAATTGTTTTATAGATTCTAATTTTTAAGTTCCGGGACAAGAGGCGCGAACTAAGTAGTTTTGTCACAGAAAAATAACAAGCATTTCCCGCCTTCAGTCTAACCTTAATCTCTTCTTCAATTTCGTTTTTTCTAGTTATCGCAGAACCTAGGTACCTGAATTTCTCTACCTGTAATATTTGAACTAAATTCAAGATATTTTCCTTTGTGACTTATAAAAATAAAAATCGAATCCATTGTACGTCACTGACTCGAATAAATCAAAGGTGATCTTCGATCGAATCAAATAACTTCTGCAGTTTTAGAATAGAATAGAATAGAATAGAATAGAAAATAATTTTATTCTGGGACGAAGTCCCTTCAGAATAACAAAAAAGTACAGAAATTAAAATTTTACATCTGGCCAGATAAAAACAAACATAAAAAGTAAAGATAAAGATAAATCAGTAAAAAAACAAAAAAAAAATATATTAGTTATACATAATATATACAAAATAAAATAAAATAATCTATATACAAAATTCTCGAAACCATACTAAGATACTTAAAACTATGTACAATGGTAAAATATAAATAAACCCTTTTAGTAAAAATACAAAAAAAAAATAAATGTAAATTCTTCTTAACAGTAAAATCTGTTTTTCTGTTGAAAAAAAAAATAATAAAAATAAAAAAATATGTAATTTTACATAAAAGGTTAGCTGGTATCTGACTGTTTTTGGAACAGGAATTGGAATAGGAGGGTTTTGAATGTAGATAGGGATAAAGAATGTCGGATTTTGATAGGAAGGGAATTCCAAAAATTAACAGAGCGAGCAATAAAGGAGTTTTGGAACGAGGCAGATCTGTGAGAAGGAATGTAAAGGTCGGAAGGTCGAGATCTTGTGGAGAGGGAGTGGATTGAGGACTTGAATTGGAGAAGATTGTAGGCGTAGGAAGGACGATGATTGTTGATGATATGATAGAGGAATGTACCTAGGAAATATTGTCTTCGAATGGAGGGGAAGAGCCAGCTAACTCAGTTTTACTAGTTTTGTTGTGAATAATAGCTTTCTATTTTTAGTAGTTGGTTCAGTATGAAGAAGGACTGTTTATTGAGGTTTGGTATATAGATCTATCTTTTTCTTTTTTCTTTTTTTAGCTCGTTGATATTAATTTTTCATTTATTAATTTTATATTACAATTCCCCTAGTTTCGTTCATACTTTGTTAATATTGTGACTAAGTGTGTACTGACAAGAACTGGAATAGAATAGTCTATTGAAGGAACACAGGAAAGCTGTTAAACCCAATAAATAACCCCGAATATCATTTTTAACTTGACAAGTATACGAAGATGTTAAAAAGTTTGATATAAAGAAAAACAAAATAAAAACTTAATTTACTTGAAATAATTTCGTTGGACAATTTTAGCCAAGATATTTTTATATCTACTTCCGATTTCAATCCTCAGCAAGTGATTTTTTTAGTTTTTTTTTTTTAATATCCTAAAAATATTACAATATATTGGCCAAATTAAATATTGACTAAAATCCCAAATTATTTTTAATTCTAATGTTGTCAATTTTGTTCACGTTAAGTATTCTGATTCCGCTGAAGTGGTTGGATTGGCACTTGAGGGTAAATTGGCATTCTATCTAGTCA